ATAGCAATGTTGGTGTGTGTGTTGATCGGTCCAATTTAATGCCAACCCATTCAAAAGTACTAGATCTTCCGAGGGAACGTTTACGAGATAAACTATGTATTATCTATTATGGTGTGTAATTTTATTGCAAAATTTGAATAAAAATAACATAGTTCGTAATCATGTATGTCAAAAAGCAAAGACGCATTGGTTTGTTGGAGGTAACATGTTGCCCGTGTGATGCGGTATTCTTGTATACTTGTATGGTATTATCAAATTAAGATGTGAAAGACGCCGTTTTCCTTTGTTTATTAAGCTTGGCCGCCGCCATCATAATGAGGTTCATTGCTGTTTTCCGACCAGAGTCGACAGAGTGAGACATTTTCTCGTGCAGAAGTTCATGAGATGAACCCCCGGATCGCTTTTCACGGCTATCTCTAAAAGTTCATTGCTTGTGATGTGGCCCATGAACGAAATGTCTGCATCTTTTTCAGCAGCATCATCATCAAGAAATGGGTTTCATAAATCGTTCATTTTGATGCCTTCGGCCATTATTTATTCTTTACATATTAAACTGATAAAAATTATATGTCTATAGCAATGTTGTATGGAATAAAACTAGATCCGTTCCGAAGATTGAGAGAACCGCTCGGAGTCAAAGCTGTTTGTCAAACCGTGACGATCACTGACAATCCGAGCACAATCCATTAACACTAAATGCTGCTGGTTCGATTTCCCAGGCTAGGCAAGAACGACGTCATTGTCCCCGGGACGGCTCGACTGGCTTTTCACATCACTTTGGTACAATAAAAGATAACTCATGGACGACCTGGGTCGAGCCATAGTCAACAAAACGATGATTAAAATCAGCAGCAACGAGGTGATCAACATCGAAGACAGAGACGTGTTTTTCACTTACGCAGACGCTCGAGCGAATGGAAAAATATGGTATGTCAAGGTATTTGAGATATTGTTATTGTAATTCGACTAGGTTGCGTGTCGGGCATACTTTCGATCAAGCCGAACGCAAATCCATAATGTCAACAGAAAAGCCGTAGCTGAAGTGTACGGAAACCGGTTTGCATTCCGCTCGACTTTGAGTTGCCCGAGGGGCACATGCCATGTCATCAAGCAGCGCTGGGCGACCGGCTAGAATACAAACTCACGTTCAACAATTACGACAAAGTTCTCATCATCATCATCATCGTCATCACAAAAACGTTATATAGCACAGATTCCAGTCCAACAGTACTGCTGATGTGGTGGGCCCCAAACAACGCAAAAATGAAAAGTTAGACTCTGTATGTTTTCTTAAAAAGGTATGTCTTTAGTTTAGATCAGGTTGTTAATTGTCCTTAACTCAAGTAGAAGTTGATTCCAGATAGTGGGTCCTGCCACCTGAAATGATCGATTCCCAAACCTGGTATGGGACCTAAAGTGTGGGACAACAAGAAGACCGGTTGGGCTGATATCTGGTGATCAGGTCATATAGATACGTTGGAGCTAGGTTATTGAGGCACTTGAAAACAAGAAGGTTGAGTTTGTATTGGATTCTGTCTGATATGGGAAGCCATAGTAATCTCTGCAGAACAGGAGTTATGTGAGAGTATTTCTGTGATCAGCAGACATGTCTAGGAGCAAAATTCTGTACGCGTTGAAGCTTTCTTATTGAGGATTGAGACAGGCAATAGCGTCGGCAGTTGCAGTAGTCCATCAAAGATTAAATATACCCATGGATCAATGAGGAGGTTGTCCTCTCATCAAGGTAGCGCCGGATTTGCGAGTTGTTTCGTGAGTGGTAGAAAGACTTGCTGCATACTGACTTAATATGAGCATCCAGAGATAGGTGAGAGTGAAAATTAACACCAAGGTTTCTTGCCTTAGGTCTAGGGACAATGATATGACCGTCAATGTGGAGGTCTGGTAGAGGAACATGTTCATAAACCCACTCTGAGGTAATAATGAGAACTTCTGTTTTCTCTCCATTTAGCTTCAGCCAGTGTGTTTTCATCCAATGTTCCATTGCCTGTTCACAGCTCCCAGTTGGCGCAAACGCTCTAGTGGATGACAGGTGACAAGTTGGCTTGAAGGACAGATTCAACTGTGTGACATCAGCGTAAATGTGGAAGGAAAGACTGTAATGTCTGGCTATGTCTCCTAAGGGGGCAGGTGTCAACTGTGAATAGCAAGGGGCCTAAGAAAGAGATCCTCGCAGAACTCCATAGACAAGCTGCTTGGGGTCAGATGATGGTCACCGATTACGACACGTTGGTATCTTTCTGATATGAACGAATCCGCTATAGAGCAGTCCCATTGATACCTATTCTGATACCTAAGGTCATTCAGCATTCTCACCAAGGCAGTTTTCGTACTATGGTGTGTATGGTATGCAGAGTGCAAAGGCTCCAACATTCGTGGACAGTGATGTGTTATTTCAGTCTGTGTGCTACCACACGTTGGAAATGCTTGGAGACAAAGCTTTGATTTGACACTGGCTGATAATGTTTAAAAATTTCAGGGTCGAGATTCGTTTTTTTCAGCAGTGTAGTGATAACTGCCTGCTTGAGAGACACAGGAACATGTGCCTCAGACAGAGATGAGTTGATGATGTGGGTCAGAATGGGTACAACAGCATGCATACAGTTCTTCAGGAGCCACGTCAGTTCATCGCACATGGGTCCCGGGTAGGCAGTGGGCAGCATCAACACCTTTTATTTGGACATAGCAAACTATGTGCCACTCAAAGGCGACTGATACCTAGACTTGACACTTTACTTCAAGAAAAAAACAGGCCATCGTCAACATAAAAAAAAAGGTGACGATTGTTTTAGGATATCGATTAGATCTGCTTTGTTTCCAGTCACAATTAATTTGAACAGACCTTCCAGCTATCAAGCAGACGACGGGTTTAAGTTGGACGAAAAACAAGACGATTTGGCCTTCAGCGTGTTCGGACATGAAGGTAGTGAAACCATCATAACGCTGAAAAAGATGTGAGCAGGCTCAGTTTATTCCTGATAGAAAAAGACAATAAATTTCACTACAGGTGGATAAAAAATAGACGAAAAGAAGCACTTTTGTGAACGATGCCTGCACCGTTACAAGTGCGTCACACAGAGAGGACTGCATGGGTCAGACAGCGATTAGAATCAACATGCCCAAGGAAGACGACAACATTTTAACCACAAGAAACAAATGCCCGTACCCTTCGTGATTTATGCCAATTTCGAGGCCATCACAAAAAATATCGAACATGACACGCCTACCACAGCCGAACAAAGTTTCGCTTACAAAACGCAAAAAAACCACGAGGCTTGCAGGTTCTGTTACGTGGTGGTCAGATATGGTGGGAAAACAAATCCTCCCATGATCTACCGAGGTCCAGACGCAGCCGAAAAGTTTCTCACTTACTTGCAACATAAAGAAACCAAATCATCATATTTATATAGAATCATCCCCATGCGCATGAAAAATCATCAAATTTATATAGAATCATCCCCATGCGCATGAACCCGGACAACTGGCGAGCTCATAAGAACGATGCTCATTGCCAAGTGTGTGAACAACCACTTAACGACGATTCAGTGAGAGATCACTGTCATGTCAACGGCCGTTACAGAAAATCCATCCCCAAATCATACCCATCCCCGTGGTGTTGCACAAACTTCATGGATACGATTCTCACCTCATCATGCAAGCCATCTTAAAAATCAACGTCAACATAAAATGCATCACGAACAACATGGAAAAATGTACTTGTTCTCGCTAGACAGTCTGAAATTCATAGACAGTTTCCAGTTCCTGCTGTCGTCACTAGATGAGCTAGTGAAAACGAACGGCCACCAAAGCCTACTATATGACCACTTGATACTCTGACGAGGCGACTCGGCCTCTGTTGTTGAGATAAGGCATTTGTCCGTACGACCGAAGTCAAAGACGGGCCAAGCCAATGATTCATGCGAGAGGAATTACAAGTCATACCTCACTCAAAATTATAATCTGATGGTCTTATGGTGTTAGGTAGAAAGCATCAATAGTAAGTTATTAGTCTGCCTTTGCCATTCCGGAATGTTCTAGCTTGTTCAACACAAACTTCAAAACCAGTTTTTGAATCGCCTTCGTCTCTTACAACGCACTTAATTGTCTCTTGCAAACTCTAATGTTACAGCATAGTGAGAATTCTCTTCTAACACTCTCTCCAGACTTTTATTCACCCAAATAACCCTTCCGTTTTTTAACCCAAACTCTGGTTCTTTTACCTTCTCACTCACTCCAACCAAATATACATATCGTTTCTCCTGCTATTGCTGACTATTTTCTCAATATCTGATACTCGAAAATCATTTACCGCTTCGACAACATCTTTAGGCCACTGCTCTGCTATGTCCTGATACATACATTTTTCTTTCTGATTCACTTTTTTCATTATACTTCAAACAACATCTTGTCTCTAATACTTTTTCACTTATAATTTGTACAGACGTCTAATGATGGTCCACCATCATTCACCCATATTTTTTACTTGAACTGAGGCAGTAGTTCTCCCAAAAATATGGCTGTAGAGGAGAGAAATATCGTACTGCTATCCTATATACTACTCACCACGTCAGTTAGCTCTGAATGAGGATTGTTCATTTATGTCACCGACACCGTCGCTTTTTTTGTTTGTTTTTGCCTTAGTTTTATCGTTGTTAAGTATTAAATTTAGCATCTCAGAAACTATTACAACGTTTAGTTTAGCGTCCGAGTGCTTAAAAGTTGTTATAGTTCAGGCGAAAGTGTGCTTCATTACACTTTATGTGGGTGTAGAGGGAACTGTATTTCTTAAGTATTAGTACAGACCACGGTGCTGGTCCCAGTGGTGATGCGTACACATCGACTTAGAATTCGCTCCTGAACAGGCATATGTGGACAAACATGCATAGACAGGTCTATAGGAAGTCCCTGTTTCTGTTATTGACACAATCCGTGTTTTATTACCAACCTCTTGGTGTGTGCCCTCCATGGTACCGTGGCGGGGGGGTTCTGACATAGGGGAGACAGCGGCGGTACAGGAACGGAACCAGAAACCTTGGTTCAACATCACCAACACGGTTCATGCCTGAAAGTAATGGGCCTATCAATGAACCAGATCATTCAGTGGTATAGGAAGGGTAGTGTGAGTGTTGGGTGGGTAGTGTTAATGCATATGCGCGAATGAGCACACTATGTTATGACGTCACATAATTACGTCACGTGCAATGAACTTCACTTCTGTAACTCAGCGGTTAAAGGAATGAACCAACTCTTAGTATCTTTCCTGTGCTTATTGAAATACTAGTAAGAAGTCAAGTGCACAATAGTGGCGACGAGGATAAAACTATGTATTGGAAGTGCTAAGTACATTTGCTAATGGATACTTTGTTGTCAACAGTGTAAGTTAAAGTTTGACATTAATAAATGTAGTCAACTGTTCAGTGATTTTTTAATATGGCGGGCGTCATTGGTGAAGTTGGGATTTTTTTATGAAAACATCGAAGATTGGGCATCATATGCTGTAAGAGTGCAATTATTCTTCAATGCTAAAGAAGTTCTTGTTGCTCGTCAAATGCCAGGAGTTTTGTCCATGATTGGAAGTAAGCCTTACGCAGTGCTTAAATTGTTGACCGCGCCAACAAGACCACAAGATCAGACTCTTGATCAACTGGTAACTGTATTATAGAATCATTTCACGACAGCCCTGCTCGTGATAGCTGAGAAATACAGATATCACAAGAGAATGCAAGCTGAGGGTGAGACTATTTCGCAATATTCTGTGGTTTTGAGAGGACTTACCCTGAATTGTCAGTTTGAAGAGAGATCAGTTAGTGCTTGGATTAAAATCTACTTCAATTCAAGGGAAATTACGAGGGGCGATCAAAAAGTATGTAGAAGCACCAAGAAAACGATACAAAAGCAGTTATTTTTTAATATTTATTTTTGTACATATTATCTGTCAAGCTCAAGCAATTTGGTTTTGCTATGTTCCAGTGTCACGATCCCCATTTTCTTTGACCTTATATCTTGGTACCCTCAAAAAATGCAAAACCTACAATAAATGCATCAAAAACTTCAGGAAACAAAATATGCAAGAACTATTTTGTGTGTTTGGGATAGAAGTCATAGTCAAGTTCATAAAAAAGCAATTTGAAATTACGATCGCTTGTTAAAGTGTTACACTGGACATCGAGAATAAAGTTAGGCTACATACTTTTTGATCGACCTTCGTACTTGCATAAAATCACCTGACTCTTGATCGTGCACTTGCTATCGCAAATTCTATGGAGTTAACAGCGAAGGATTGCTAGGAACTAAACAGAGGTTCTGATTGTTTGAAGGGAAGTAGTGCTTCAGATGTCTATGTTTTTTACAGCAAATCTAAAAATTAAAATGGTGTTTCCGATGTGAAAGTGCTTTTCATCTGGCTAACACTTGCAAGCCTAAAGACGCTCCAGGTAGCATTCTGGCGTTGACCCAACTTTGGCAATGTTTGTCGTCGTCGCGCTCGGAATTCAGACGTTGTTCCAACGTTGGCACAACATCGGGTGGCATAGCCGAATTTTTTTTTCAAGGGACGCTACTCCAAATTGTTAGCTTTTCCTAGAGGGCGCTCTGATTATTCGAGCAGATGACGCGACATGATCAGAAGCTGGGCCATCGGAGTAAGGTTTCCTCGAATACATAGCGGTAATGTTTCATTATGTGTTTATATACTGAGTCAAAAAAGAAACTTCACATTCTTTCTTCAGGGCACTATAAAAGAACAAGAGATGGTAAGATGGTTAAATTGTTATCATTTCATTGCTGAGATCTGTGTGATGTACTCGATACACTAACAATGCCATAATCAGTTCCATTAGGCTACACCGCTGTTCCAAAACATGGGTATACAGAATGTCAAGTCACAAGAATAAAAATGCGAAATTTCTCAGTTCAATATCGTGTATGGCCGCCCCGCGCATTCACCACTGCCAAACACCGTCTCCTCATCGACTGCCTGATGCTTGTGAACACGTGGTTGGGGATTCTGCGCCATTGCTCTTCCAAGGCAGAGCCAAGTTCCTGCAAATTCTGAGGTTGGTTCCTAAGACCACGAAGCCTTCTGCCAAGTGCATCCCAGACGTGCTCTATTGGATTAAGGTCAGGGGACCTCGATGGCCAGTCCATGACGTAGGTTCCAGCGTTTTGAAGGAAATTTCGTGTCAACATCACGGTATGCGGCCGAGCATTATCATGCTGGAACTGTAGACCTGGGCCATGAGCCGCCATGAAAGGAACGAGTACAGGGGCGAGCACCTGGTCGCGGTAAGCAGCAGCTGTGAGATTTCAACGGATGACCAGAAGTCGGGAACGGTTGTTCCCACAGAAAGCACCCCACACCATGCAACTTCCGCCCCCAAATCTGTCGACTTCCTGTACACAACATTGGGCATACCGTTCACGACGTCGTCTCGAGACTCTATGCCTGCCGTCCGCGAATCTGAGGGTAAACCTGGATTCATCGCTAAAGACGACTCGATTCCAGTCTCTCTGGGTCCATCGGAGGTGACGTTGGGCCCACAGCAGACATTGACGTTGATGAAACGGCGTCAATATTGGCCCACGATATGGACGTCGAGAATGGAGATTGGCAGCCTGCAACAGATTTCGAATGGTCTGTGAGGACAGTCGACCTCTAAACATCTCAGCCCTGGTTCGTGTAGCCGGCAGAAATCTGTCACGTATGTGACGTAGGACGATTTGACAGTCTTCTGGCGATCAGAAGTGGGGCCAGTTTTTTTTGTAGACGACCTCGCAAGTCATACACAGTACGACGGCTGCATCCCATCGCTCTTGCGACGTCAATAACTGATCTTCCCGCTTGCAACATGCCAACGGCACGTTCACGTTGCACATTTGACAATCGTGGCATTTCAAGCACCGTTAGAACTGTGGTTTAAAAGTGTTTTTTCATTTCTTGAGGCCAATGCAAACACGTGCATATGAAGAAAACTTCGATGCGAAGATCACGTGATCGACTGCACGTGCAAAACCTGATATGGCACTAACGTCATTTGCATGACGAATGGATGGGTTTGAGTGGGTTTTGCTAACGTTTTTCTAGAGTCGAATGATAGGGATCCCATTTCGGATACATAAATGTATCATCAGAAAAAAATTATTCATTATTTTTCAAATTCCATTTTGTGAAGTTTTTTTTTTGACTCAGTATATTATGTTCGACTTTATTTCTGCTCTGTGCCCATGGAAAAACAGTCTTGGTTCATTCAGACATATAGTCATATTACTGACAAACTACCTTCGACGTACATCACCTGTCATGACGCTGACAAACAACCTTAGAGGTACATTACCTGTCATGACACTGACAAACAACCTTAGAGGTACATCACCTGTCATGACGCTGACAAACAACCTTTGAGGTACATTACCTGTCATGACACTGACAACAACAATAAGAGGTACATTACCTGTCATGGCACTGACAGATAACCATAGAGGTACATTACCTGTCATGGTACTGACAAACAACCTTAGAGGTACATCACCAGTCATGACACTGACAAACAAAATTAGAGGTACATTACCTGTCATGATACTGACAAACAAAATTAGAGGTATATTACCTGTCATGGCGCTGACTAGTAGACCAACTACAACCGCTGTGGTAGCACCAATGGTTGAATACCAAAGATAGGACACTGTGTACAGGGCAGAGATACCAGTACTGAAACATGGTATAGAGGACACTATCAGACCAACACTATCAGACCCATCATGTGGAAAAGAGTTTTGGAAATTAAACAATTTTTTGTTAAAGGACCAATCATATGTAATGAACATTAAGGGCATTATGTCCCAAACAGTTCAGCAGTACAAAGTTGGGACAAACGAATATAGTATCAATGACCAACTTCTATTTGCAACTATTTTACTGATGATAAGAGGAGAAACCATAAAGTACTCTTCTTTTCTGAAATATGAAAAAATTAAGAAAGAAACACAACTTACAGATAAACCCAATGAAACAGAAGTTAAGCTAGATGAAACAAACGATGCCACAGTAAAGGCAGATCTGATTATTGAAGTTAAACAATTACAGCAGGAACTAGAAGAAATATACAGAGCTAAAACTCAAGGATCAACTTCTTTCTTTTATATTTAGAATCTAGAAACTTTCTTAATAAATCATTTTAAAGAATTGAAGATGCAAATGGAAAACTTCTAACCAACCAGGATGATATCCATAGTGAAGTAAAACTGTTCTATAGTAATCATGATGCTTCTTATATAAATCTTGACGACCTGCTGACTAATTGTAAAATTTCGAAACTTAGTCACAACGTATCATCCAGCCTCGAAGGTGAACTTAGCAAGATGAAATCTTAACTGCTCTCAAATGTCTTAAGAATGATAAGATGGGTTTACTGCTGAATTCATTAGGTTCTTCTGGCATGATCTAGGACAATACCGTCTACGTTCTTTAAACTATGGATACAGAAATTGAGAACTATCAGTTACTCAAAAGCAAGGACTTATTACTTGTATTCCCACGGGAGATAAACCTAAACAGCACATTAAAAACTGATGCCTGATAACACTACTGTCAGTATATTATTAAGTTGCCTCTATGGCTATCTCAAAATGAATCAAGTCTGTTTTTGACACTTTGATAAGTGAAGATCAAAAGGGCTTCATGTCTAGAAGATACATATGTGATACTATTAGGAAATGTATGACTTGATTGAGTACACTTATACATACCCGATTCCTGGACTTTTACTTCTTGTAGATTTTGAAAAGCCTTTGACACAGTAGATTGGTCTTTCGTTGAAAAGACACTCACCTTTTTCAATTTTGGAGATTCCATCAAAAGCTGGGTATGTGTATTTTATGAACATATAACTTCAAGTGTACTAGTTAATGGTTTTGTTTCTTCAAGCTTCAACGTCTATAGAGGCTGTTTTCAAGGAGATCCACTTTCCGTTTTACAAGATTAAAAGTAAATATAGATAAAACTAGAATTTTATGGACTGGATCTGAAAAGCGCTCAAGAATAAAGCTCTGTCGAAACTTGAATCTATATTGGGATCAAAGTAATTTTGAATTACTCGGAATAAGATTTGGTTTAGATCTCGATGAAATGGTTGATCGTAACTATAATGATATATTGAGACAGTACAAAACCCTCATTTCAATTTGGTCTGTAAGAAATCTCACTCCTTTGGGGAGAAATCATGTACTTAATTCGTTAATCATTCAAAAAAATGAAACATCTCCTCGCTTCCATCCCAAATCCTCAGGACAAAGTAATAGATGACTTTCAACGAAAATGTTTGAAATTTATATGGAGAAACAAACCCGATAAAGTTAAACGTGATCAACTTATATATAATGTTAATGATGGAGGTCTGAACGCACCAAATATAAAGGAGGTGATGCAGACTCAAAAAGTGTCGGTTATAAGACGTTTCTACATGAAGTACTCTAAAGGCAGCAGCCTATTTGCAGAAAATGTACCCAAACTTGGATTTGCAAATATTTTTTAATATAATTGTCCAAATCTAAGAAACGGTTCCACGCCATTGGTTCGCAACAAATTCTACCGTGACTTACTAAATGCTTGGTGGGACCTATATTCTAGACATGAGGAAAGAAACTCGGAACTAAACATTACCTCCCAAGTAATTTGGTATAATCACAACGTTATAATCGCTAGAAAAACGATTTTGTATACAAATTGGAAGGAAAAAGGTATACTAGTTATAAATGACCTTCTTAATAACGCTGGCAAATTTCTATCCCATGAAAAATTACAAAAAAATATAATATCTAAAACCTAACTTTCTAGATTATTGCAGAGTCATTAGTTAAAGCCTTCTTTGAAAGCAAAGCCATCAATTTAGAAAACATCAAGAACAGAGTAAACCCAATATAACCATATATCTTCACCCTTCTGAAAAGACAAAAAAAACGGGTTGTCAAGTTTATTACAGGGCCTAAGTGGAAGCAAAAACAAATCGTAATCAACACTGTATTAAATGGAACGTTATAGTAGAAAATGAAATTGCAGATGATATAGAAACTTGGCACAAATATAACCATATTCCCTTTCGTTGTACAACAGACACAGATCTCCAGTGGTTTCAATACAAACTGCTTCATCATATTTTGTCAATGAATAATAGACTTGTTAGAATGAAATATATTGACCATAACCAATGTAGCTATTGCTCAAATTCTATAGAAACAACACCCCGCCTCTTGTATGATTGTAACAATGTTACCTAAACAGCAGAAACTCCAAGATTGGCTAAATGATAAACTTGATTTAAGTTTGAAATTTACAAGACAACAAATTCCTCTTGGATTCCGTTGTAAACATAACGACCCAATTAATGTGATCCTCATCCATTTCAAAGCAATTATTTTTAATTGTAAAACATCCGGAAATATGCCTACATTACAATCATGTTGAAAAGGTTTACCCAGTATTGCAATTTAACTAAATATGCGGCTATGTTAAGCTCCAGAATCGACGCTTTATACAAATTGTGGTCGGCATGTCACCTGTTCATCGACTGATTTATTTTGTATTGTTATATCTACATGCTCTGTATCACCAAACTTCACTTTATCCCTTGGTCTCTACCCTGCATGTTGGAGCCCCTGTGCAACTGTAAAAATGGTAAGAAAAATAAAAAAGAATTTTAAAAAATTCTGTTGAGGGTAGAGTGTTGTCATCTCTGGCACACAGTTGACGATGAAACACTTTCCAGAGTGGCCGTTCTCATAATCACACATCATCAATGGGCGTCAAGAAGACTCTCTCGTGTCATGTCCTCTGTCCTTTACATTTTTCCGCGCAGTTTCACTACTTGCACTATCTCAGCATACTCACTATTCGACAGGAGCTTGAGCTGTTGTTAGGTTTGAGGACGTTGTTGTCGCCATGGATATGGTGCTGTTGGGGACGCTGCAGTTGTGCGTGGGGTACTCAAGGCTAGACGGTGTTCCTACAACGGTGTAAGCTCCTATAGAGATCCAGAGAGGGAACACCAATCCCAGCACACCGCCGACCACTGCTCCCTGTAGAACATAATACACCGTAAACAGGAACACCGCCGACCACTGCTCCCTGTAGAACATAATACACCGTAAACAGGAACACCGTCGACCACCGCTCCCTGTAGAACACAATACACCGTAAACAGGAACACCGCCGACCACTGCTCCCTGTAGAACATAATACACCGTAAACATGAACACCGTCGACCACTGCTCCCTGTAGAACACAATACACCGTAAACAGGAACACCATCGACCACTGCTCCCTGTAGAACATAACACACCGTAAACAGGAACACCGCCGACCACTGCTCCCTGTAGAACATAATACACCGTAAACAGGAACACCGTCGACCACTGCTCCCTGTAGAACATAACACACCGTAAACAGGAACACCGCCGACCACTGCTCCCTGTAGAACATAATACACCGTAAACAGGAACACCGTCGACCACCGCTCCCTGTAGAACACAATACACTGTAAACAGGAACACCGTCGACCACTGCTCCCTGTAGAACATAACACACCGTAAACAGGAACACCGCCGACCACTGCTCCCTGTATAACATAATACACCGTAAACAGGAACACCGCCGACCACTGCTCCCTGTAGAACATAACACACCGTAAACAGGAACACCGCCGACCACTGCTCCCTGTAGAACATAACACACCGTAAACAGGAACACCGCCGACCACTGCTCCCTGTAGAACATAATACACCGTAAACAGGAACACCGCCGACCACTGCTCCTGTAGAACATAATACACCGTAAACAGGAACACCGCCGACCACTGCTCCCTGTAGAACATAACACACCGTAAACAGGAACACCGTCGACCACCGCTCCTGTAGAACATAACACACCGTAAACAGGAACACCGTCGACCACCGCCTCCTGTAGAACATAACACACCGTAAACGCGACCACTGCTCCCTGTAGAGAACAATACACCGTAAACAGGAACACCGTCGACCACTGCTCCCTTCGTAGAGACATAACATTACCGTAAACAGGAACACCGCCGACCACCGCTCCCTGTATAACATAATAATAACCGTAAACAGGAACACCGCCGACCACTGCTCCTGTAGAACATAACACACCGTAAACAGGAACACCGCCGACCACTGCTCCCTGTAGAACATAACACACCGTAAACAGGAACACCGCCGACCACTGCTCCCTGTAGAACATAACACACCGTAAACAGGAACACCGCCGACCACTGCTCCCTGTAGAACATAACACACCGTAAACAGGAACACCGTCGACCACCGCTCCCTGTAGAACATAACACACCGTAAACAGGAACACCGTCGACCACCGCTCCCCTGTAGAACATAACACACCGTAAACAGGAACACCGTCGACCACCGCTCCCTGTAGAACATAACACACCGTAAACAGGAACACCGTCGACCACTGCTCCCTGTAGAACACAATACACCGTAAACAGGAACACCGTCGACCACTGCTCCCTGTAGAACATAACACACCGTAAACAGGAACACCGTCGACCACTGCTCCCTGTAGAACACAATACACCGTAAACAGGAACACCGTCGACCACTGCTCCCTGTAGAACATAACACACCGTAAACAGGAACACCGCCGACCACTGCTCCCTGTAGAACATAATACACCGTAAACAGGAACACCGTCGACCACTGCTCCCTGTAGAACATAATACACCGTAAACAGGAACACCGCCGACCACTCCTCCCTGTAGAACATAATACACCATATGCAACATTCTAAGATGATTCGGTGAAAGTTTGGCTTGGAGAAATGTTTGTTCTGCAAACTATCCGAGTAAACAATCATCACATTTTCTCACTCCCCGAGGGACTTTTGTCCTGAGGAGCTTTTGGCCGTTTATACGTCTTCTTCCCAACTAACTATGAAGAACTTGCTTGATCACGGCGTTAGAGTGAGTGAGTGAGTTTAGTTTAACGCCGAACTCAGCAATATTCCAGCTATAGGGCGGCGGCCTGTAAATAATCGAGTCTGGACCAGAAGATCCAGTGATCAACAGCATGAGCATCGATCTGCGCAATTGGGAACAATCATTTGTCAACCAAGTCAGCGAGCCTGACCCGATCCCGTTAGTCGCCTCTTACGACAAGCATGGGTTACTGAAGGCCAATTCTAACCCAGACCTTCACGGGTTGGCGCCGACAGTGCTTTATCGGACGACAATGTACACATCTAGCATTACGTCACAATGTATTGGCGCCACTACACCATTCTCGTCTGCCCCCTCGTAATCAAACACTTTTACATTACGTCACAACGTTACCGACGTCACGATGCATGTCAGTTGTCATCGCCTCGTACAGTCTCCTACAGTAAACTACACGTAGCACCCCGTTTCTTGGTTTGAAGTGTCTTCACTAGGATAACACCATTGGTGGAAACATTACGTATATATTTTTCGACGGACATAATGTCTCAGTTCGATTCACAATTAAACAGCGACACGGCATCGTTCGCAATGTTTACATTCCCACAGTGAATCCTTTGAATGTCGCGTGACTAGTCAGCTTCATATGGATCTAAACCTACGTTGGTAGTACAAATTCGACGTTCCTATTGCCCCATATAGTTTACGTTAAGCACAGATGTAATCAAAATAACTGAGATAAGATATTTAGCCCGAACATAAACCGTCATCAAACTGTTTATCATTTCTTTGTTGTTGTTTTTTCTGGTAACGTGCGCCTTAACGCAGTTGGCAGACTCGTCAATAGAACAGTTAGCCATGAACGAGAATTGTCAATTTAGATCACCGACACACCGTAGCATTTCTTTTTGTTTTCTGCCTTAGATTTATTGTCAGTAAGTATACAATTGTTCATCTTGGAAAGAAATACAGCTTGCCTTACCACCATGTATAGTTTAAGCGTCCTCCTACTTTAACTATAATATTTCACTGCGAAAGTGTGCTTTATTACACTATACATGGGGTAGAATACACCACTCCCAAATTGAAGTCCAGATGACAGAAATAAGAACAGCACAACCACCATGATTAAAACTCTCTGAACCATCGTGTATATCAATCGTTTAGATTATAAAATCTGATTGTTAACACATTGTTAATGCAACAACCGTCATCAGTCTGACTTGGTACATATGTACAGATCATATAAAGTCTGTGTACAGTTATGATGACTCAACTTACAATCCAGTTGGCCCACGGGAAGAACGCACCCAGGATGAACATGCCGAGCATCGGGCCACATACTGCACCGGTGAAGCTGAGGCACACCTGGTAACATCACAAAACATGAAGCTGAGAGACACCTGGTAACATCACACACGAAGCTGAGACACACCTGGTAACATCACAACATGTGGAGCTGAGACACACCTGGTAACATCACAACATGTGTAGCTGAGACACACCTGGTAACATCACATGTGTAGCTGAGACACATCTGGTAACATCACAACATGTGAAGCTGAGACACACCTGGTAACATCACAACATGTGTAGCTTAGACACACCTTGCAACATTTCAACATGTGTAGCTATGACACACCTGGTAAAATCACAACATGTGTAGCTGAGACACACCTGGTAACAACAAAACATGTGTAGCTAAAACACACCTGGTAACATCACAACATGCGAAGCTGAGACACATCTGGTAACATCACAACATGTGGAGCTTTGACACACCTGGTAACATCACAACATGTGTAGCTGAAACACACCTGGTAACATCATTACACATGAAGCTGACACTAACCTGGTAACATCACAACATGTGTAGCTGAGAGACACGCTGTAACATCACAACAAACGAAGCTAAGACACACCTTGTAACATTTCAACATGTGTAGCTATGACACACCTGGTAAAATCACAACATGTGCAGCTGAGACACACCTGGTAACAACACAACATGTGAAGCTAAAACACACCTGGTAACATCACAACATGCGAAGCTGAGACACATCTGGTAACATCACAACATGTGGAGCTATGACACACCTGGTAACATCACAACATGTGTAGCTGAAACACACCTGGTAACATCACTACACATGAAGCTGACACTAACCTGGTAACATCACAACATGTGTAGCTGAGAGACACGCTGTAACATCACAACAAACGAAGCTAAGACACACCTGGTAACATCAGAACATGTGAAGCTAAGACACACCTGTCAACATAATAACATGTGAAGCTGAGACACACCTGGTTACATCACAACATCTGAAGCTGAGACACACCTGGTAACAACACAACATGTGAAGCTAAGATACACCTGGTAACAACACAATATCTGAAGCTAACAAAACACCTGGTAACATCACAGTATGTGAAGCTGAGACACACCTGGTTACATAACCACATGTGTAGCTGAGAGACACGTGGTAACATCACAACATGAGTAGCTGAAACACACCTGGTAACATCACTACATATGAAGCTGAAGCACACCTGGTAACATAACAACATGTGTAGTTGAGAAACACGCGGTAACATCACAACAAACGAAGCTGAGACACACCTGGTAACATCACAACATGTGTAGCTGAAACACACCTGGTAACATCACTACATATGAAGCTGAGACACACCTGGTAACATCACAACATGTGTAGCTGAGACACACGCCTGGTAGTAACATCACAACACGCCTGGTAGCGATGCTGAGACACACCTGGTAACATCACAACATGTGTAGCTGAGAGACACGCGGTAACATCACAACAAACGAAGCTGAGACACACCTGGTAACATCACAACATGTGTAGCTGAAACACACCTGGTAACATCACTACATATGAAGCTGAGACACGCCTGGTAACATCACAACATGTGTAGCTGAGACACGCCTGGTAACATCACAACAAACGAAGCTGAGACACACCTGGTAACATCACAACATATGAAGCTGAGACATACCTGGTAACATCACAACATTTACAATGATTCTAACAAAAAGTGTAATATATTTTGTTTCATTATCATATCACCATCTGTCAAAACATAGAATAACAGTGAAAACAAAGAACAACACTTCCTACCTATTGCTGCCAACCAGGGATCATTATTATACACATCATTAACAAGATACAAGTAAGTAGATGCCGCTTACTTATGGGAGGTAACGTTTCCTGAGAGGATTTGAACTAAAAACCCGTTGTATTCTTTCATATTTTCATATGTAAGATCTTCCTACAGTTTACCAACTGTCATCACCTGAGATCTTCCTACAGTTTACCTTGTGATCTTACCTGTAAGATTGTCCCACCCAGATGCATGGTCATAAAAGACACACCAATACCCGCGGCGCCAAAAAACAGCACTGTGAAGTAAAGGAAATGTTATAAATTATGTCCTTGACTTATCACTTTGGATTGATCAGGAAGATTGTCGGGACAAATGTAAGTCAATTATGTCGTTCACACGCTTCCGTTTCACGGTCATCTGACCAACCACTCGCCCAGTACAAAAGTGGTATATAGCATCAAATACTATTGTCAGTTTGTAGTTCTTTGATGAAGGATGTCAGGTCTCACGTCTTACCGAGCAGCTTTGTGATGAGTGTCTTCTTAGTTTCTGTGAGTCTGTCTCCCAGGATTGGTTTGAGGAAATCCTCCCAACACACGGCGGACAGAGCATTGAGACACGACGACATGGTGCTGAAGTGATTCAATGGGAAGTATGACAGACGCAACATACGACAGGCAGAGCATTGAGACACGACGACATGGTGCTTAATTGATTCAATGGGAAGTATGACACACTCATCATACGACAGACAGAGCACTGACTGACTGACTGAATTTGGTTTTACGCCGCTTTTAGGAATATTCCAGCAACATCACGGCGGGGGACACCAGAAATGGGCTTCACACATTCTGCCCATGTGGGGATTCGAACCCGGGTCTTCGGCGTGACGAGCCAACGCTTTAACCATTAGGCTACCCCACCGCCCCGACAGAGCACTGAGACACGACGACATGGTGATGAAGTGATTCAATGGGAAGTATGACACACTCAACATACGACAGACAGAGCATTGAGAGACGACGACATGGTGCTGAAGTGATTCAATGGGAAACATGACACACTCAACATACGACAGACAGAGCACTGAGGCACGACGACATGGTGCTGAAGTGATTCAATGGGAAGCATGACACACTCAACATACGACAGACAGAGCATTGAGACACGACGACATAGTGCTGAAGTGATTCAGTGGGAAACATGACACACTCAACATACGGCAGACAGAGCACTTAGAGACGACGACATGGTGCTGAAGTGATTCAATGGGAAACATGACACACTCAACATACGACAGACAGAGCATTGAGACACGACGACATGGTGCTGAAGTGATTCTGGGAAACATGACACACTCAACATACGACAGACAGAGCATTGAGACACGACGACATGGTGCTGAAGTGATTCAATGGGAAACATGACAAACTCAACATACGACAGACAGAGCAGTGAGAGAGGACAACATGTTGCTTAAGTGACCCAATGGGAAGCATGTCACTCTCACCATCTTAGACCATGGACCAGACAGCAACAACGTACAGCATCTGTAATGTACAGTCTATACCTGATTGATCCACGACAATGAACAGTTTCTACCTGAGTGCTCCACGACAATGCACTGCTTCTTTGCGAGGGTTCCACTGGAGTGAACAGCCTGTACCTGAGCGCTGCATGACAATAAACAGTTTCTACCTGAGTGATCCACGACAATGGACATAACCTACCTAAGTGCACCACTGAAGAGACACGAGATGAAGAGTCCCGGGAGACCGGGATAACCAAACACCTCCATCACGAAGTAAGGCACCAGCTGGATTAAAGAGAGTGAATGAGGTCTGCATAATGGCACGTTTAGCAATATTACCGCAATATTAGATCGGGACACCAGAATTGGGCCTCCATCATTCTGCCCGATCTGACCAGTAAATATTGGATCTGTCTGGTTACACCAGTTCTCCAGAGTGAAAACAGAAGGCATCTTCATATACTCATTTATAATTATAAAAATGTCAATTGTGTCAGAGCTTTTAATTGCACAAGTGAGAGAGTTCCAAAGCACAGGTTCCGTGTTGGATTTCAGTTTGTAGGATGGGATGAACAGTAGATTTTGTGAGTTTGAGCGCAAGTTGCGTGCGGGAACATACGGATGTAGGAGCCCAGAAAAGTAGGAGGTAGCCAAACCATGGAGTAGTAGTAGTAAGGGGTGTTTTGGAACACTTCCGCTCATGACGTTATTTATGGTTAATAAAACTCCCAGCGTCCCTTACAAATGGCAGTGGATGAGTGCATGAAAGAGAAAAAGTTTTAATAATCATAATAGCTAGCGATTATTTTATGGATAATTTCTAACATAAACTGTTCGAAGTCGACTAAGGAGTAGGTTGAGTACGGGGCAGGGTGTTTGTCTCGAGGCTATAATCGAATCAGGCATCCATAAGAAGTTCTAACCGTTTGGTAGCCACCAATTATTGTACAGGGCCTCGAATTGACCTCGACTAATCACTCGGCATAGACCTGAAGAAATATTAAGCCCTTTGACGTCCACCCTGACACGATTGAACAACCGTTTCTCGATCAATCTTCACCTGATATACCTCTTTTATATTCACTATTTTATACCTAATAGTAAGTGGGGTAATATCGTGTGGTGGGGTACGATCAGCAATTCCTCTCGCACGAATCCCGTGCCTGGTCCGTCCTTCAGGTAATACAAAAAGGTTTTACCAAATACCGAGTTGTTGATGATGTTAAATAGATTCTTTTCAAAATCACTGGTGGCCCGTTTTCTTAAACTTGAGTTCAGTCTTATGTAAGTTTCCATCCAAGCACTTTGATTGGACTTAAGAACTCTTTTCTTTACCCAACGACAAGTACAGCTGCAAGTTACGATAGTGAACGATGTGTTTGGTTTCATGCATCAAATTTGGTAAGAGGTTTTCACTGTTAGCCAGTTTATTATTTCCCAACAAGTTTCGTTGATATTCGGACATCCAGTCTTTGTCAACCATTAATCGTTCGGGAGCGAGTGGATAACTGTTGTGTGACTGGGGTATTCCAGGTCAACTTCCAGCATGTAGCATTTGTTCGAGTCCGACGTGATACTATTGACGTCAATATCGGGGAAAACCCATTCAAATCCCCCAGTGAGTAAAGGGTGACTCATAGCCCAGCCGTAGAGATTATTAGCATCGAGATAAAGTATATGGTTCAATGGTTTACTCGAGTCATAGCCCAGCCGTATAGATTATTAGCATCGAGATAAAGTATATGGTTCAATGGTTTAGTCAAGTCATAGCCTTCCACGTAATTATTGTTGGCTTTTAGCACATGGCTTAGCAGCCATTGAAATTCCACCTCGCAGCCCTTTCTCGATAAACAGGTGCATATCATAGTACGTCAACAGTTTCAACTCAACACCGGTCTTTTTTAAAGATACTGGGGCTGGAGTAATACTACGCTGGGTCTAGGCATTATTGTTTCAAACATGTTTTTAAGAATATTTGGAATACATCGGCGAGCAGTAGTACGTCAGTTTTGAAGTACAGATCGTGGTAGATACCTAAATTCTTATAGACTAGTTTGTCCCATACCTCAAGGGCGTCCTGGTAATCGTCATAGGTTATTTTGATTCGGTTTAGTTACTATAAAATGATTCGATGGGAGGCAATTTCGTTTACCCGAATCTAGACCAACCATCCATGTATTCGTACGGGTACACACCCTTCCTTAGCAACAAAGGTCGAGTCGACGCGTTGGTGTATTGATTCGTTATAGCGAAGGCATCCTGGTTGTTCACGTTCACTAAACTGTCCCGAGACAAGAACAGAAATTGCAGTCTGTCTATGAAGTTAAGACCATCCAATGAGAACAAGATGTATTTCTTCATGTTATTGGTGATGCATGTTAAGCTACCGTCCACTTTTGAGATAACCTGCATGATTAACTGAGAATCATAACCACGAAGATTATGAAACACCACTGGGATTTGTATTGTTGTGGGGTTTATCCTAAGTTTTAAGTTACATGCATTGTGAGCTGCTCCTCTGTATTTACCCGTGACGTGGCAATATTCACTCACGAAATTGCCTTTCAGGGGTTGGTCGCACACGTGACAACTCTGAGCCTTCTTATGAGATCTCCAGTCATCCTTCGTCATATGCATGGGCAGAATTTCCGACAAAGTTTTCCAGATTGTTTTCTCTTCATTTTGTAAACATGCAGGAAATCTTTCCTCCACGCCGTGACCTCTGTAGATCACGGGAGCATTCGTTTTCCCAACGTATCAGACTGCGACGTTACCATAACCGCAAGCTTTGTGTTCTTGCGTTTTATACGTGAAACTTTGTTCAGTTGTGGTAGGCGTGTCGTGTTTGATAATTTTTTATGAGGGCTTTGAAGTCGGCGTAAATGATGAAGGGTATGGGCATTTGGTTTGATTGAATAATATATTTTAGCATGTTTTCAATCTCTTCAGGCATGTTGATCCTTACAGCAGTCTGTCCGCGACAGTCTTCTTTGTACCCTTCTAAAAGATCTCATCCATGCAGACATTGTTCGCAGAACTGTTTCTTTAATTATGTTTTGATTGGTCTCTTAATAGTCTGCTCAAAATTTTAATCCCTGCGTCGTGAAATTTTCCATCTTTATTGGTCAGCAATATATTGAGCCTGCGCACGTCTTTTTCCGTAATGGAGCTTAGTCTATGCATGATAGTTTCATTCCCCTCGTGCCCGAACACATTTACAGCCAACTTGGTTTGTTTTTCAACCTTAGCGATTTGGGAGATGGGGAGATGGGGGTGGGTTTGACTATGCCATCCCAGTTAAGCGTGTCGTCCGTTGGATAGCTCGAAGGTCTATCCACATGAATGCTTACCGGAAATAAGAGAGATCTAATCGACCACCTCAAACAATCATCGTCATTATTTTTTACGATAGTCATAGCATTTTTATTCTTGTAATAGGGTGTCAACTCAATGTAAGATCCGCCTTTTAAAGGCATGTAGTTTGCTATATCTAAATAGATGGTGTCGATACTACCCACCACCCTTCCGGAACCTTTATGAGTCCATTGTTCCATCGTTTCCTGTATCCGTTGTAATGACGGATCTATCGTGGAATCTATAGTATCCAATTGGATGACTTCTTGACTGCCTCGGAAATAAGGTTCTACGCTACGTACTCGGTACTGCCATCCGTGTTCGGTGTGTGTTTTGCGACATTTTGATCGTTAACTGGTATTTTATACTTTTCAAATCGTCCAACTGCTCATTGATCTTGATGGCTATGATGGGTTTAACGCTATTAACATCGATATTAGAATTCACAACCATCCGCCAGCCTCTCAGATACTTACCAACTGTGTGTTCTGTGGGTACAAATCTCAACTCTACAGGTTTGGTGTCGGCAAGCAATGTCAACAATTCTGTTTTCCTCATGCGAGAATAGCCTGTCACCCGAGCTTGACCTTTCAGCTCTTTTACGGTGGGGGTTTGACATATTTAATGTCCATCAGTGTTAGCAATTCGGCCTTTCTCATGCGAGAATAACCAGTCAGACCACGACTTTTTGCAAGAGCCTTGAGTTTTCGTACAGTACTCATGATTATAATCTAGAGTGAACAAATGTCTAATTGGTTGATATACCTTTCATTGAATACATTTTTTATTGGTTGTTTTAAACTTACGTGGTGGGCGAGCTGTCTAAAGCGCCAGGCTAGCAGTGTAATACTCTGAGATTGCTGGCATATCACCGAGTGATTACAGCTGTTTTCCCGTGACGAGATAATATTCGTGCATTGCCTCATCTACGTCCTTAAATATTCGTACTGCGAGACCTTCTCGTTTCAGTTGTTCATTGATAAAATCTATTCTATGCATTCTTTTTTTCGCATAGTCGAATTGTGCTACCTGTAATTTCTCATGCAATATCATGTCTTCGGTGTTCAGCTACGATCTCAGCTGCATTGGATGATTGTAATTTAGAAAAAAGATAATTGCTACCCGAAAATGCGAGAACATTTACTACAGCTCCACCAACCACTTAGGCAATGTTAGTCATTTATTTATAATTGTATAACATTACTTTAAAATGCTTTCTTGGATGATCACTTGCTTGTTAAACATATATATTGTGGCCATAGCCAGTTACAAATCAAGGACAAGCATACTCAAGTCATAAGCATAAAAATCGAGTTTCGGTGGAAGCGATTTGGTGACCATTTTACTTAAACGCGCATAGCCTATAGCCAAGCCACTGACCACGGTGGCGTGATACGCATTGTTGACAAACGTCTTTCCATCTGTGGTAGACATCTTTATAACATAATATGTGGGTTTGCCTTTAATTGCTCAACCACTGGCGGGGAAGGTGCCTTCTCGTTTTGTTTCACTTTATATAACCATGGTTTACATGACCACACAGCTGTGACGATAACAACGGTGGCAGCAATGGTGCCCGAGATCCATTGGTTATTTATTTGTTTATTCTTAGCTAAACCACCTTCTTTACCAGTGGTTACTTGTTTAGGATTCTTAGGTTTCTTCGTTTCAGTATCAACCACCTTCGGCGGTTTCGGTGGTAATACATGAATCGAGTTTTAAGTCTAATATAACAAAATATGAAAAATGTGAAGGGGTACTGTCAAGGTGAGAGGACGGTAACCGGCACAATCCCTAGGGAGAAGGTGCGCACCATGAATCTTTCGATCTTTCTCCCTATGGGATTGTGGCTGCCGGGGACATTTTGCTAATTTATCAACCTTTCTATCTTTCTATAATTTCTTTTCAAAACAGATTCAACCCAGGACAACAAACGATGCCCCGTACTCAACCTACTCCTTAGTCGACTTCGAACAGTTTATGTTAGACCCCATCCATAACATCATCGCTAGCTATTATTATTGTTATAAATTATTATCTTTCATATTGGGGACATCGTTGGATCATCCACCGCCATTTGTAAGGGGTCACTGGTAGCTTAATTAGCCATAAATAATGCCATGAGCGGAAGTGGTCCAAAACACCCTTTACTACTAGTAGTCATGGAGGCACTTGTATGGCAGACAGAGGATCTTAAAGTCAGTTCTGGCCCTAACCAGTAGCCAGTGCAATCCTGTCAACCCGGGTGTAATATGGGAATCCTTAGCAGTCTTGCTGCTGATGCGGCATATTTTCAGAGGCATGTGAAGAGGTGAAAACAAATGATAGACAAACAACTAGACCTGAGGACCATACTTGGTTCGGGTTGCTGACTTTGCTATCTGACAAGGGATCACATCCTTTCTGGGCGTAGTAGGCGAACATGATGATCCCCGACAGACACACAGAGGTCATCAGCAGAATGACCCCGACGATGTTTAGAATCACAGATCTGAAAAAACAACATCACACAGTTACCTCAACTCATCACACTGAATTAAACAGTCCATTTCAAATGATAACAAGAGGTTAAAGTGGAAAACAGTGTTTAAGAAACAGTTATTTTAGGCAAATGCCTCTGGAAGTATGCTGAGGAAACAAATATTTGAAAAGACGCCGCAAGCAGCTGTTTTGCGGCTATATGGCGGCGGTCTGTAAATATTGGAGACTTGACCAAAGAATCCAGTGATCAACAGTATGAGCATCTATCTATGCAACTGAGATGCGATGACGTGTGTCAACTCAGGTATGGGTTGCTGAAGACCAGTTATTACCCGGATCTTCCCAAGTGTAGATAAGCACGGGTTGTGAAGAGCAGTTGTAACCCTTATCTTCACGGGTCCATAAATTACAGGTATGTGAACGTCAGTGAAAGAACATCCAGGTAAACAAGCGGCCACCCCAATGGACACCATCTGTGCATCTTCTTGGTGGTCATTGTCGTGATGCAGATGACTCAGAATGTAACTTACAGTCTGGCCTGTCGCAGCGTGGGCAGTGCGCAGTACCGCTGGACAGTGACCTGGCTCAGCCCGTATGTGTGGGACCAGTCTATGGCTGTTCCGATGACCAGTGACCAGAAAGACTGGCGCACAGTAGGGTCGGGATTGAAGCTGAAACAAGAGCATTGTGGCAGAAATAGCTTTTTTTCTAGCAGTGCCGATATAACCCGTGAGTCCAGTGACTCATTGAAGTGTCTGCATTGTAGTGATTGAAAACACCATGTCATGTAACTAGCACTCATTTCGTCCTGGAATCTTCTGACTCAAGCTGAGTGAATTGGACAGTTTAGACAGCATCTGTCATCGTTTGACACAGTAAGGTTAATTGAAGCATGCGATTCCGCGGGCGGATTAAATAATACATTTACTGAAATAAATACGGGCTCTTGGCAATATTTATTTACTCCTCTTTTCACTGAACAGAATGTATGTCTGCATGTACTCACTACCCGAGTCCGCACACACACCCACAGACACACCCACACCCACACCCACCCACATATACAATCACAGATACACACACAGGCACAGGCACACACATACAGACCGACCCCCCCCCTAAGACCCCCCACCCACACCCTCCGCACTCACACGCGCGCACACACACACACACAAACACGCACACATAAACATACATGTGCACACATTAATCCCTGGAAAGTTTGAACAAGGAGGTGATATACTTACTCAAAGAATTTAATTCTACCCCACTCTTCGTTGATTCTCCACACCTCCCTTAACCCGCCGACTGCATACGTTCCCTGCAATATGAAGGTTCACAATCCATCAAACCTTGCCTCGTTTCTACCTGCTCTACATGTAACATTTGTACCCACTCTTAATGTAACATTCTTTATGCATCCGTATGTTCTCCTTACTTATTATCTTTCCAGATGTTTCACATGATGATTACTTACTAAATACATCATATTAATTGGAACAATATCCCTCACTGACCCTGATGATTATGGCCAGTACTCCGACAAGCATCACGACGCACTGAAACACGTCTGCCCATACAACTGCCTTCATTCCTCCCTGAAGTAAGAAAGTTGTTTCAATATTGGCAGCTGACCTGAATAATGATTCGCTTTCTGCCACGTGAGAACCTTCAGAGAAATTTCGTATTGTCAGCTGTGTGGGGTGTTGACGAGGCACTAACTTATAAACGTACCTTTATTATACAGCCCATCTATCAAACCTGACTGTTCAGTAAGCTGCATCAAACTTGTGAGAGAAGTCCATCGTGTTTTCTACCTACCACTGAGGTGAGAGTATACACTAAACGCCAAAAGAAACCCTCCTTCCTTAATGGCAGAGGTACCTATCTTCAGCTGGCGATGTGATGCGTGGACGTCCACTTCTTGGTCTATCTACGGGGACCCCAGACTGTCTGAAGCCCTGAATAAGTCTTATAACCGTGATACGATGACATTACAATGGCTCTTTCTCTCTCTTCAGCTGTTATTCGTGGCATATTTCTCGTACTTGTATCATATCATGCGTTATAGGCACTCTTTAGATCCTATAGCATCATTCTACATGTGAAATGGATGCAAATACCGCTTGAATATGTTGCGTTTTAGCGACTGATATTGCTATGTGTAAACCGAAAATTGAAAAATGTTACTTTGCAAGCAAAAATGTTAACAAAGATGATTTTAGATGTTCCTAAACATTTTTTTCACAATATCAAAGACAAGTTTTACTTCTTTTTACTAATGCAAATCAGCAGAAAATGTTTTAAAAGACTGAAATCATAGGAATAATAATTTTACAATTTTCTGAAGTCTACAACAAGCGTTTCTTGTTTTAATAGTTGCAAAATGGTTACTTTAAATGGTTTAACTTTATCTCAAACCAGAATGTTGTTTCCACCTTTTTGGGGACATCTAAATAACTGTTGCTGGTGTATTTCGGACGGAAATAGGACAATTTAACTCGTCTAAAAATGATGCATTTCACTTAAACATAAATGTATTTGAGAATTGTTTTCGTAATTTGCATAAAGCTGTGTTCTTAAGCTTTCTTGCAAACTAATACCTTCTAACATATATTGGATAGTTTTTACGTAATTCTTAAATGTAGGAGGGTAACGTTTCTTTTGGTGTTTAGTGTATATGTTATAGTTCCGATCCACCTACAATATACCTCGAGCAGATAGACATATGCTCACAGTGTGATCTACCTACCAGATACGTGTAGAAGGTGGCTACGAGACCGATCGTAATTATCGTGGCCCATGTTGGAAACCCGGTCACTGTTTGAAACATGAATAGAAAAATATCAGGTAATGCATACAATTATTATAGATATTGACTTTTGTGTATATCACCTTGTCAAGATCAGTATTCTACCTCACACTGAACAAGTTGCTTATGAACATGTAACGGATCGACCAAACGCAACCGACTGGCTGGGTGGGTATATATACGAGGGTCACGGAGTGCATGTGGAGAACAGTACACGTGGTGTCGAGTCTAGACATGACTGGTGGATGGAGTGAGCTGGAACGCGTGAGTTGTGTTTCAATCTGTTTCATAGACAGGATTAATGTTTAAACAATGTTTAAATATGTTGTATAGTTTAAGCTGTCATGGACAGGATTAATCATGTTTAAAGTTTTGATGTTGTGTATTCCGCACATACATGTAGCTGTCTGAACGCAGCCTGTGAAATGTATTATGTAGTTATGAATGCAGCCGGTGAAATGTATTTTGTAGTTATGAATGCAGCCTGTGAAATGTATTTTGTAGTTGTGAATGCAGCCGGTGAAATGTATTATGTAGTTATGAATGCAGCCTGTGAAATGTATTTTGTAGTTGTGAATGCAGCCGGTGAAATGTTTTTTGTTGCTGTGACACACAGTTCATGGTGTGGGTGTATATACACTAACTTTAAGATACACTAGACATAAAATTTGGATATCACCTTTACTGAGTCTGTTATGATAGCGATGTTAAACAAAGCTTCATTGTAAGTTATGCAATATACTTGTGTTATAGTTACTCCGCTCCTGCTATGGTGATTGCATGAACCACATGTACTGAATTGTACAGGAGGGTGGACAGTCAGATGGACTGATTGTACAGGAGAGTTGACAGTCAGATGGACTGATTGTACAGGAGAGTTGACAGTCGGATGAACTGATGGTACAACGAGGTTGAACAGTCTGATGGACTGATGGTACAACGAGGTTGAATAGTCTGATGGACTGATGGTACAACGAGGTTGAACAGTCTGATGGACTGATGGTACAACGAGGTTGAATAGTCTGATGGACTGATGGTACAACGAGGTTGAACAGTCGGATGGACTGATGGTACAACGAGGTTGAACAGTCGGAAGGACTGATGGTACAACGAGGTTGAACAGTCGGTTGGACTGATGGTACAACGAGGTTGAACAGTCGGAAGGACTGATGGTACAACGAGGTTGAACAGTCGGAAGGACGGTTAACAATACAGAGGAGGGTGAACAATCGGTTGGACTGTTGGCGGTGGTCAGTGGAATGTACTGACTAATACCACGAGGTTGAACCGCCGTATGGACTAACATGACCGTGGTGGTCAGTTAAAGGAACTGTATGAACTATCATACGAATGAACTTTAAGTTATTGGAGTACGTGTAGTAGGTATTTAGAAGAAACAGGAATCAAATAAACATTAAGTAGATGTGTGTGTGTGTGTGTGTGGTGTGATTGAGGATTCATATACATAGTGGGTTGTAAATACACTGTTGTTCTTGTAATCCTTGTTCTGTTGGTCTGGTTGTGACACTTTATATATCACATAATGTATACATCGTGAAGACGGCATCTGGCCAACATCGGTATGCAGAGCATATCGTTTACAACTACACAGCCACGTATAGTGCCCTCACGTTGCCTTGTATAATACGTTTTAATTACAAACCTACCTGCTTCCAGAGCCGTCGATGGAGCAAGTGACGCCATGCCCATATAGATAACCTGGGATAAAACATACAGCCACGTGTGTACAAAAACAACGTTCATACAACCACGTGTCTTCAAGTACAACGTCCAGAGAGCCACATGTCTAAGTAAAACGTACACACAGCCACGTCTCTACAAGTACAACGTACATAGAGCCATATGTCTACAAGTACAACGTACATACAGCAAAGGCTCTACAAGTAAAAACGTACATACAGCCACGTTTCTACAAGTACAACGTACAAACATCCACCTGTCTACAAGTACAACGTTCATAGAGCCATATGTCTACAAGTACAACGTACATACAGCAAAGGCTCTACAAGTAAAAACGTACATACAGCCACGTTTCTACAAGTACAACGTACAAACATCCACCTGTCTACAAGTACAACGTTCATAGAGCCATATGTCTAAAAGTACAATGTGCATACATCCACGCGTCTATAAGTACAACGTACGCAGAGCCACGTGTCTGCAAGTACAACTTACGCACAACCACGCGTCTACAAGTACAACGTACGCAGAGCCATTTATCTACAAGTACAACGTACACACAGCCACGTGTCCAAAAGTACAACATACACACAGCCACGTGTCTACAAGTATACAATCATAAAAAACATTTCCTATTCTTCCGGTTGATTGTCATGTTGTTTGCAATACCTACTTGCTGACAATCCTCATGCTGTTCACAGTACCTACTTGCTGACAATCATGATTCTGTTTGCAGTACCTACTTGTGTGACAAACATTATGCTGTTTACAGTACCTACTTGTTTGCTGTTTACAATACCTACTTGCTTGACAATCATTATGCCGTTTACACTTCCTACTTGCTTGACAATCATTATGCTGTTTACAGTACCTACATGCTAACAGTTGTTTACAGTACATACTTGCCGACAATCAGTATGCTGTTTACAGTACCTACCTAATCAAAAAACTTATTTCCGATTCTTCCGGTTGATTGTCATGTTGTTTGCAATACTTACTTGCTGACAATCCTCATGCTGTTTACAGTACCTACTTGCTGACAATCATGATTCTGTTTGCTGTACCTACTTGTGTGACAAACATTATGCTGTTTACAGTACCTACTTGTTTGAGAATCATCATGTTGTTTACACTTCCTACTTGTTTGACAATCATTATGCTGTTTAAACTACCTACTTGTTTAACAACCATTATGCTGTTTACAGTACCTACATGTTAACCGTTGTTTACAGTACCTACTTGCTGACAATCATTATGTTGTTAACAGTACCTACTTACTAACACTCATCATGTTGTTTACAGTACCTACTTGTTTGACAAGCATCATGCTGTTTACAGTACCTACTTGTTTAACAGTCATCATGGTGTTTGCAATACCTATTTGCTGACAATCATGATGCTGTTTACACTTGTTATTTGCTGCCAATCATCATGCCTTTTACACAACCTACATGTTGACAATCATTATGCTGTGAACATTACATTCATGCTAACAGCTGTTTACAATACCTAATTGCTGACAATCATGATGTTGTTTACAATACCTACTTGCTGACAATCATCATGTTGTTTACAATACCTAATTGCTGACAATCATGATGTTGTTTACAATACCTACTTGCTGACAATCATGATGTTGTTTATAATACCTACTTGGTCATAATCATGATATTGATTACCCTACCTACTGGATGACAATCACCATGGTGTTTACAGTACCTGCTCGTTTGACAATCATCATGCTTTTTACAGTACCTGCTTGTGTGACAGTCATAATGCTGTTGACAATATCTACTTGTTTGACAGTCATAATGCTGTTTACAGTACCTACTTGATTGACAATCATCATGCTTTTTAAAGTACCTGCTTGTTTGACAATCATCATGCTGTTTACAATATCTACTTGTTTGACAGTCATAATGCTTTTTGCAGTACCTACTTGTGTGACAAACATTATGCTGTTTACAGTACCTACTTGTTTGCTGTTTACAATACCTACTTGCTTGACAATCATTATGCCGTTTACACTTCCTACTTGCTTGACAATCATTATGCTGTTTACAGTACCTACATGCTAACAGTTGTATACAGTACATACTTGCTACTTGCTGACAATCAGTATGCTGTTTACAGTACCTACCTAATCAAAAAACTTATTTCCGATTCTTCCGGTTGATTGTCATGTTGTTTGCAATACTTACTTGCTGATAATCCTCATGCTGTTCACAGTACCTACTTGCTGACAATCATGATTCTGTTTGCTGTACCTACTTGTGTGACAAACATTATGCTGTTTACAGTACCTACTTGTTTGAGAATCATCATGTTGTTTACACTTCCATACTTGTTTGACAATCATTATGCTGTTTAAACTACCTACTTGTTTAACAACCATTATGCTGTTTACAGTACCTACATGTTAACCGTTGTTTACAGTACCTACTTGCTGACAATCATTATGTTGTTAACAGTACCTACTTACTAACACTCATCATGTTTACAGTACCTACTTGTTTGACAAGCATCATGCTGTTTACAGTACCTGCTTGTTTAACAGTCATCATGGTGTTTGCAATACCTATTTGCTGACAATCATGATGCTGTTTACACTTGTTACTTGCTGCCAATCATCATGCCTTTTACACAACCTACATGTTGACAATCATTATGCTGTTTACACTACATACATGCTAACAGCTGTTTACAATACCTAATTGCTGACAATCATGATGTTGTTTACAATACCTACTTGCTGACAATCATCATGCTGTTTACAGTACGTACTTGATTGACAATCATGATGTTGTTTACAGTAACTACTTGCTGACGATCATGATGTTGTTTATAATACCTACTTGGTCATAATCATGATATTGATTACACTACCCACTGGATGACAATCACCATGGTGTTTACAGTACCTGCTTGTTTGACAATCATCATGCTGTTTACAATATCTACTTGTTTGACAGTCATAATGCTGTTTACAGTACCTACTTGATTGACAATCATCATGCTGTTTACAGGACCTACTTGATTGACAATCATCATGCTGTTTACAGTACCTACTTGATTGACAATCATCATGCTGTTTACAGTGCCTACTTGATTGAAAATCATCATGCTGTTTACAATGCCTACTTGTTTTACAATCACCATGGTGTTTACAGTTCCTGCTTGTTTGACAATCATCATGCTTTTTACAGTACCTACTTGTTTGACAATCATCATGCTGTTTACAATACCTACTTGTTTGACAGTCATAATGCTGTTTACACTACCTTCCCGTTTGACAACCACCATGCTGTTTACAGTACCTACTTGATTGACAATCATCATGCTTGTCCCCGTCAGCCTGGCAGCGCGGGAGTTGAACCGTTTCTCGAGATACTAAAACGATGAAATCTCGATGAAATAATGATAGATAGATATTTCCGAGAACGCTGGCAATCGTCATATTATCGTTTCATGACAGGTGTAAATATACACGTCCAAAACAGACAATGATGTGATAGCTATTATGAACAACAAGTACCGGTTTGGGATACATGTATACTTGGATGTCTTTACGAGGGACTGGCGAGAGCACAGTCTACGAATGAACATGAGAGAGAAAACACGTTAAAGGGGAAGAAAAAGGAGAATGTTGGAATAAAAGACAATGGGAAAGGAAATAACGCACGTGAAGGGAAAGCGAGTGAGTGAGTTTAGTTTTACGCCGCACTCAGCAATATTCCAGCTATATGGCGACGGTCTGTAAAGAATCGAGTCTCGTGGGAATTAGAGAGGGTGGTAATGGGATAGGGAGATCATGGGAATTAGAGAGTGAGGTCATGGGAAGGGGAGGTCATTGGAAAGGGAAGTCGTGGGAAATGGAGATCATGGGAATTAGAGAGGGAGGTAACGGGAGAGGGAGATCATGGGAAAGAGAAATCGTGGGAACGGACATGACAAAAGACAACATGGGGAATGGAGGTCCTGGGAAAAAGACATCAGGGGAATTAGATAGGGAGGACATGGGAAAATGACATCATAGGAATTAGAGAGGAAGGTCATGGGAAAGGGACATGATGGGGATTATAGAGGTAGGTCATGGTAAAGGGACATCAAGGGAATAAGAGAGGGAGGTCATTTGAAAGGGACATCAAGGGAATTATAGAGGGAGGTCCTCGAAAAGGGAGATCATGGGAATTAGAGAGGGAGGTCATGGGAAAAAGACATCAGGGGAATTAGAGAGGTAGGTCATGGGAATTAGAGAGGTAGGTCATGGGAAAGGGACATCATGGGAAAGGCAGATTATGTGAAAGGGAGATCATGGGAATTAGAAAGGATGGTCATGAGAAACGGAGGGATTATAATTATTAGAGAGGGACGTCATTTGAAATGGAGATCATCGGAATTAGAGAGGGAGGCAAATTGAAAAGCGAGATCATGGAAAGGGAGATCATGGAGAAAGGAGGTCATTGGAAGGGAGATCATAGGAATTAGAGAGCTAGGTCATGGGAAATGAAGATCATGGGAAAGGAAGATCGTGGAAAAGGGAGGTCGTTGGAATAAGAGAGGGAGTTCATGGGGATAGGAGATAAACATGGATTGCTGAAACCCTGTTTGTAATCCGGAAAGTCGCGTGTTGATAAAAAATTAACAAACGAAACGTGACTTGGAGTGCAAATATTCTACAGGGTCTTAACATCACGAATATCACTTGAATGTTGAATACTCGAATGTCCAATTGTGAAAACCACTCCTTCTTTCTAATCAAAGTCAGGAGATTAGTGAAAATGCATCATCCTTCAAATAAGCATTAGAACAGTCGACCTTAAGGAATGTTCAGAGTACATAGAGTTACAATATGTATCAATGACAAAATACAAGATTTTACGGTGTGATAGCCTTCTGGTAAAAGCGTTCGTTCGTCACGCCCGGGTTCGATTTCCCACATGGGTACAATGTGTAAAGCCCATTTCCGGTGTCATCCGCCTTGATATTGATAGAATATCGGTACAAGCGGCGTAAAACCATGCTCACTCACTCACTCATTCCTACACAACAAAGAACCAGCCTCGATTCTCCAACCAGACAAAACTCCCCAGAGGCACAGAGAGGGGAGAACCATCCTTGAATCTCCAACCAGACAGAACCCCTGGGAGGTACAGAGAGGATGAACTAGCCTCGATTCTCCAACCAGACAGAACTCCTGGGAGGTACAGAGAGGGGAGAACTAGCCTCGATTCTCGAACCAGACAGAGCAGAGAATGTATTCAGCCTTCCAATGTTTCCCCATCATCGCGTCAAGAATGAAGGCTAAATTGGAAATATCTCAAAAACTTTATATTTACGCTGTATAAACTTTTGATTCGACTGACGAGTTTTCCAGCTACAGAACAACCGAATCACTGTCACAGTGTTAGGGATAGCCCACACTACGCCAAGACGGACTTTCTCTAGACTCGCAGAATGCAAGCAAAACAGTTGGAATTAATTCACACAAACTCTGGAAAGACGTTAGGTTAATATTTATATTAAACTCCTCAACCACCAACCTCCTAGTAACTCCTGCTTATTCGTCTATTACAACTGCTACTACTACTACTACTACTACTACTACTACTACTACTACTACTACTACTACCGTTGCTATTGCCACAACTGCTGTTGTTACTACTGCTCCTACTGCTACAGCTACCACTGCTGCTACTGCTGCTGCTGCTGCTGCTACTAATCCTGCTGTTGCTTCAGAAACTGTTATATCGATTGACCTGCAAACGTCCGTATAAGCGAATGCGTGATTAGCGGCGCTCTGCAACAAACGTAACTACGAGTACTTTACCTCAAATGAGCTTGTATACTTCAGTGGATAGAGAAGGGGAACGTACAACAATGTAGACACAACAATGGCTACAGTTAAGCCGAACGTGTACAGGTAGTACTGCGTCCCTTCTCGGTACATCTCGGCTGGAGTTCCCAGGATCAAGATGGCGGACATGAAGGACACTAGGATGGAAATGGCGAGGGGCACAGTCTTCATTTGTCTTCCACCCATGAGAAATTCCCCCGTTGTGTTTTGCTTGTTTCCGGAAAATGCATGGAAAATTCCAATTCCTGCGGGCACGAGCAACACCAGAGCAAATACCACGTAATCACCAGCACCAAACACCATGTCCTGAGATTCCATGGTGACTGTCGATGTTATGGTGGATGCGAGGAGGATTCACGTGTCTGCACGTATACGTGACACTCCCACATGCACTTTTCGTTGTTTTAATTTATTTGCTTGTTGATGAGCACATCCATCCCATGCTTCACACGTATATTCGAAATGGGTTTTTATGAACATGAGATAAATTATATGCAATACAGAGCGCGATAATGAAAATGCATTATTCCACGATCTTGGAAAATTTCCATTTTTGATAGACTATTTCTGAAAAGATCGCGTGACATGAATCAGGCAAATGCTTCAAGTGTTGATAGTGAATATTATCAGCACCTGCTGCTGTATCACAATCTTGTTCGTGTAACGAAAATAATTCGTTGTAGTCTTCATCATTGTCCGAGTTTAAATTTATTCTTTTCTTGTCCTGTTGTTTCTGATATTTTTTAAACTCGGCGTAGTTGACTTAAAGTCACAATTCTTTAATTAGCGGTATGTGGAGCAACATTATTCACATATTATGGCTAGTTATTTATAGCTTATAAGCAGGGACTATTTTCTGTAGCCGTATAACATGCAACGGCGTATGAATATTTTTGCTTCCTATACCATGATCAAATATTCTATTATTTCACCGTTTTTAATCGCAGTATACCTGTGTATTTTAGATATATGGCTAACATTGCGTGCAATCGCTATGTTCAGTGTTCAGAAACCAGTTATACAAATATGTATGAATCTAGTTGTTTAACTGTCCTTCGATGACAGGTTTTTATAAAGTATTCTTGGGTCTATTCTTTATTTATGAATTTCTGTCGTCACGGTATGAAATATTGCCGATGTGACGTAAAATATTAACTCACTCTCTCCATAAAGACAGAAACTGGTGTGACCTCAAACACAACACCAATAATAATTAGCCACAAAAACGACAATCAACAGATGTTCATGCTCGATATTTCAATATGTCGGCTTGTGTTTGTTTGTCTACATATTATTTTATGTGCGCTCCACACACTGTTAAACAGGAGTGAGTGAGTTTAGCTTTACGCCGCACTCAGCAATATTCCGGCTATATGGCGGCGGTCAGTAAATAATCGAGTCTGGACCAGACAATCCAGTGATCAACAGCATGTGCCTGACTGACCCTACGGTTATCAAACTAAGATGGAGAAAATCAGTAAAACACAACACAGTAAATTCGTTTGACCAAATTATTTCATCTCGCTACCTGCTGAGATACTTTGTCATTTGTCAAGACGGTAAAGACTTATAGACAAATGAATAATCCCTAATATAGCACCCCTACCGTAAAATGTTCAACATGGACGGTAGGAAAGGAAGGTGGTTAAAGCGCTTGCTCATCACGTCGAAGACCACAATGTCTACATGGCTATAATGTGTGAAGCCCATTTCTGGTGTCCCCCGCCGTGATTTTGCTGGAATATTGCTAAAAGCGGCGTAAAACCATACTCACTCTCTCCACATTAAAATATAAGGTGACAACTTTCGCTGTGGATAGGTTTTTATGTACGGTTGTCTTTTCTTTGTGCACTTTACACCTTTATGCTTTATATGTGTCCCATTTCGCAAATAAATGGGCGTTTGTCTGTTTTTAAGAGGTAAAACCATTCATAATTTGGAAAAAGATTAATGCGGTAATCATATTCCGTCGCAATGGTTTGCGGGTAACCAATATGCCATGCAGTGTAATATACCTTTGTGCCGTCCAGCCACTCCCATCCACCTGTAGCAGGGGCGTAATACCCACCAGTCCAGGAATGTACACCAGGATCTGCGTGGTAGAATATGCATTTTACATTTTCTACAAAATCATGATACTTTTGCAAACCAGTGGAGAAGATTTAGGAACACAGCTTAAAGTACAGATGCTTACCACTTCGAGAACGGTTATAGATGCTAACGGCCTACTAACTGAGAGCAAATCTGGGCCGAGAATCCATTATCTTTAGTTTCTGTCACTCACAGCGAACTGCGAGCAGTTACCCCAATAGAGAACAAGTAATATCCTTGCTTAGTGCTATACAAGTGCAGAATGATTACTGGAAGAATACATTTAAAATCTTGGCAGGAGCCTACCCAGTTTACTAAATTCTACTGAGCTATCCATTCTTTGAGCAGCTGGAGGATGTAATAAAGTTCACGATCTCATAATTCACGATTACGCTCCAATCGTTCAAAGGAATGAGTACACACATGCACGCAAGCACGCACGCACGCACGCACAAGTACTCACACACACGCACATGCACACACACACATGCTAATTTCCATTTGTCTCCCCATGCCTTCATCTATGTCGTTGTTGCCAGCATAATAAATCCAGTTTTCAATGTACTTGTGTTATCTTGAATGAAGTCATGTTCCTCTAGAGTGTTGATGGCCTCCTCTGACAATCCAACCTTGCCTCGTCCCATGTGGGGCCCCAGTGGGCCACGTAGTAGCATCTGCTAGGCGACTTCACAAAGGTAGGTAGCATCCTACAGATATAGCAGCGGTTGTAGTGGTCTTCCATTGTCTACCTTGACTGTAGTTCACAATAATCACCGCTGTGTTTTCGAGTTATTTACACGCATCAGATATTTCGCAGGGATATTGTCGAGTGTGGTGAAACAACTTAAAATCCTCAACCATCTTTGAGATTTGTTTCTGACATATAATTCCGTGACACTGAAAGAGCCATACAACATGTCCATTACTTTGTATCGGAAGTACTTACAGCCTTCCTTTAAGGTAGCTGGAGGTAAAGCGTTCTGTTTTCTGCATTCGGCAGAAACTCTGTCGTCTGTGGATAGAGCATGGTATTACATGGGTCTGACACTATGGAAACGATATATGTCTGCAGTTGTCACTGCATACTTTTGGATGCGACTTCAAACGAGATGTTCTATTTCACTGTTATTAACATTTCTCTTGAGATATAGTGCTCCCTCACCTCCGCATTTAGTGGAGGACACCGACCCGTTACAGGCCTTCTGATTACAGAAGTTGCTGTCGCAGCACCGGTAACACTTGTGTACATCACGGGAAGATCTGGCCAGAGACGCATCTGCGGAATCCATGGTCCCGACTGACCTTTTTCCGAACAGTGTTACTACATTTTGCAGAATACTACAAGTCTGACAAAAAAAGAACAAGTTAGATATCATTCTCACCAACAATGTCTTTGTCGGATGTACATGAACTGTTGTTCTTGTAATGTTCTTGATATTTGTGGTTATCTTTGATTGAAAATTGAGCAACCGTTAATAAGTTTAATTATTGTTTAATCATCTTGTCAGTATTTGATACTTCATAATATCTAAAAGAACTGTGTTTATTTAGTCCAACAGTTTGAATATATGCAGAAAAAAGCAATTTAAACAATAAATGATTGGTCAAAAAAATATGTTGACACAAGTGTAAGCAGCCAACTGCCAATCGAAACGCAATTCTGTGTTGGCGTGATATTAGTCAGCATCGATAGTTTATAGAAGTGCCCAGTTGCATAGCACACGCAATACAAAGTGAACACTGAAACATCCATATCAACTGTCTGTCCAATTAAGGGGATGCGTGGTTTGTTTGCGGACGTCTGTCGCACTGCAGGAATACAGTTTACAGATTTTAGAACCAACTGTGCCAGTACCTAGACACAGACCCATGTGGTCGAGTCCCTGTTACCTGTGGTAAAGTATCTTGCTGACGTCACAATATTCAGGATTATAGTAAAGAAATAACATAATAATGGCCAGTTTGCATTCCGTGTTTCCATGATCAATATCATGCTCAAGGAACCGATAGGGAAGAAAAGTTCAGTCGTGAGCTCGATTGAAACAATAGGTATTTAGCAGTTCTAAAGGTGGAATAGTTTAAAGAAGCGCTGAGTTTAAGAGGACGACCGTTCCATTGTCAAGTTGCTGCAAAGAACCATCTCTGTCCATAGCTAATAAATTTTACAGAAACACATGCAGGGACTCTCAACAAACCAATCTGGTTCGTAGGTACGATTGGAGTGCAGTTGTTTGTGAATGGCAATAGTCGGAATAGCACAAGAGTTTTAATCGGATCCGTCGCTATAGAGGAAGTCGGTGAAGCTTCTTCAGGGTGGGAGTGATGTGCTTGGGTATATGGGTTAGACGGAACAAGGCAAACTGCTTTGTTCTGAGCGGTTGCAGTCTGCTTACTATTTGAGAGTGATTTGGGAGAACCAGAAACATTATTTAGTAAAGTATCAACAAGTTTGAAAAGATAATGTTAACAAGTTTAGCATAATGGAAGCATAAATTTGGGATTATACTTTCTTAGTAAACCACTTGATTTGACAACTTGCTAAATGGCATTGTGTATTCTTATTCTTATAACCTGTTTTCCCGGCGTGGTTAGTGAACTCTCTGGTGAAACACATCTGCCAGAAGACACGAGAAGCGGTATATTACATAGTTTGAGTATACACGTTAATCATGAACATTACACTTGTTGACACGATTAGCTAAACCACGTGATATAAGCTGCAATTGTTTCATGATTATGAAAAGATAATTGTACTAGGGCTGGGACGGGTCCAAATTGTCTACCCGGATACCCCACCCACTATTATCCTACCCTACCCGGATACCCGTTATGTTTATTCCTGTCAACCAATTCGTAAGAAATGGCAATGTATTCTTCAGCTCGGTGGCTAAAATTTCGAGTCTTTCAATATCTTAACCATGTATCATATTCAAAAGATCTGCATGTAAATTATGTCTAAATCTTCAAAGACAATACAACTTTTTAATCATGAAAGAATATCATATTACATTGTTTAATCTATAAGTCATATGATCATAACGGGTCCGGATATTGAGACGGGTACCCGGGTCTAACCCATTACCCACCCGTCGCGGGTATCCGGCTTAACCTTCCCAGCCCTCAGCTGTACCCAATGCAGAAACGTACAAATATGAAAACAGCTGTTCATTGGATAATGAGTGAGTGAATTTAGTTTTACGCCGCTTTTAGCAATATTCCAGCAACAT